GGAGCAAAATATTTTTGTAGGGGGGGCTCAGGCCTTCTTAGGGGGGGCTGAGCCCCCTCTAGCCCCCATCTGGTTACGCCGCTAGCAACAGGGATGAACTAGTTTAATTTCCTTACGTTACATTAACTCATTTATACACAGCGTTACTTTCATTTTCGGATGAACTACTTTTTTAATTCGAATATTGTTTTTCATATAACTTTTATTTTTTTCTAATAGATTTTAGAAAATTTTATGCCAAAATAATGGAAGCGATTTATATATTACATGAAAAAGATATGGATGCTCGTTTTTATGTTTATCTTAGAGTGATTTCATTTTATTGAATAGATAATGTAAAAAATAAAAAATTATTTGGAATGGATTCATAAACATAAAGCTCAATTACGTAGACAACATTAGCTGCATTTAATGATACGACCTATTAAATGTTTACTTAAATATACATCAACAGCATATATTGATTATCAATTATTAATTGATTTGTTGGATTAATAGTATTGAGAATTGTCTAGTAAGAAAGTGATTCCGACAGTATTAAGCACGTTTTGTTGTTATTGTTAAATTTTTGGTCAGAGTTCCTTGTTATACATCGTGATTATATAGAAAAATTTCAAGTTATTGAACTTTCACAAGAATTAGCAACAGCACGAACACATTTAATCGTTTCTTTTCTTCACTTGTCTTGAATATATGTGAAGAACACCTAGTATGAAAACATTTTACTTATTCAATTAAGGAATATTGAAAGTTTATTTGATATTCAACTATTATCATTAACAATTGATGGTAAAATTATTGACAGTTTTTGTTTCGAAGGAAAATAGAGTGAGTGTAAGTTTTAGAGATATGCTAGACGAAAATTTGGACGTTTGCTGAATTCTTACTCATCATATTTTCATTAGAATTTATTTCATATTTCTCAAGGCATCCTGATGATGAGCGTTTATGAAAAAGTCATTATAGACTTTTATCTTAAGAGTGGCAACTATGAAAGATCAGACCTGTATCCAACTAGCTCTATTGGGAACTACGAGAAAAGCAGTTGTTCCAACTGCAACTGAAAGTTATAGTTAAATATTCTATGGCTTTAAGTGTATAAGTAAAAAAACACGAATATTGAAAACCTTTTTAGATGTGATAAGAGTCAATTCTGGAATAGTTTTCTCTAGACGGAAACACACCCTCATATCCTTTTTGGGAGATAGTAAAGGAAACTCACCCAAAAGAAGTATAGAGAGAGACTCGAATATGGAAAAATATGAAACTCATAGTAATTTTAAAAGCTAAAAAACGGAGTAAAATCTAATTTCTCACGCATTTCTTATGGTCTAGTAAAAACTTTTCACTTCAAGTATTTTGTATGAATATAATGAGAGTAAAGAACATATGTTAGTTCTATATTTTAGTTCTTAACAAGTTGTATTGGCACAGTCTCTATTTTTATTTTATAAAATTTTTCTTATTAAAGAAACTGAAAAATTCAGAATACTTTGTTCAATTGAAGGTCAAACATGTCAGTATATATTTCGTGTTATTAATGAAAATACAAATACTAGTAGTCATAGTTCAAAATCTTATTTTACTGATTCAATATCTTCACTATTATCGATTCCAATATTATCGAATAGTACTCATCATCATGGAAATAATAGAACTTATGTACTTTATCAGTTAGCTAAAGCGATTCTCGTAATGTACAATTTTTATTTTAGTCTTCACTTATTCAAACATCACTTGAGAATTTAGACATTGGTTCAGATTTACGTTCAATTAATTGTCTAAATTTATTAGACTTCGCATTTGAACGGTTTGAAAATTTTCATTTTTTTTTTAAATTAATTAATGTTGAAATTTCAGTGGTCTTCATAAAGCGAAGAAACGATTAAGTCTAGCTATTCCATTCAGTCCATGATTCAAGTAAATAAATGAGTGTATCATTAAGACAAGTTAGTATTTCAAATGAGAATTTCTCATAATTAAAGTAAAACATTCAGAAAATTTCGACTCATTTTGACAACTGATAAAGGAATCGGAAATGCGTGTGCTCCCTAAAGTTCTGGTCTACTAGTAAAACTCATCATGGTATCTCATTAGTATCAGAAATAGCCAGAAGAAAAGATATCGTACCAGCGATTAGTGCTTCAATAGAAAGATTATTTAGCTCAGCTTGATTAACATTGACTCAATGACGAATACGTTTATGATCAAGTCAAAATTTTCAAATATATTATTTATTCTTTCTTGTTGTCTACTTGTTGATATTGATTACATTTTTGAATAGTGAATATTTTGAGTTTTTGTTTTATTCAGCTTATGAAATCGTATGGTGACCGAATATTCTGATTGGTTTTTTTTCGTTGTTTTGAATTTAGTGATACTTAGGTCTGACCAAAAGTTGTGTCATCATTAAGTAAAAATATAAAGATAAGGAGATATTTTTAATTTTATTTTATCAAATGTTGAGGATAGTTGCCAGTATTATTTATTACAAGATCAATCTTTTCTAGCAATTAATAAAAAGTTTTTTTTGAACTATTTTTGTGTAAAATTTTTAGCT